ATCAGTCAGCTCCTGCTTGAGTTCTTATCCTGCGTTCCTTCAATAATGGACTATGATGTTGAAGTGTAAGCTAAATAAACCCTTTCCTTCCCAACTTGCTTTTAGTCTTGGGGTTTCATCACAGCAATAGTGGCCCTAACTAGGACATCACCCAAGTGCTGTTTTCAGGAACCACGGATGTGTTTGTGCTATTCATATCTTCAGACATTCAGATTATATACATACATATATTACACATAGGGTGGTGCTGGTATCAATTGTAGTTTAAGATGTATTTTGAAGTTAAAAGGCATTAAAACAGTCAGTAACAGGCATAATAAGGAATATATCGTGAAAACGTGAATAAAATGCAACCAAAAGTGACAAAGTGCCATTTTACCCATGGTATGCAAAGTGTTATTTTCCTTATTGCTACATATGTTCTATACATACACCATACAAGAACAGTAGAAGTTAAAATTGCACACTAGAAAGTTAATGACCGTAACATTAAGAAGGTAAAACTTAGAGAAAGAAGGAAAAACTTCTTTAGAATTTAAAGCTGTTCTGTAAGGAAAGTTTTCTTATAACTGCAGTTTAAACTTGCCAGTAGAGATGGGAATATGACCAAGTCAGTATTCAAGACTTGAGTATTTTGGAGGTTCACATAGCTAGACTCTTAACAGTGAAAGGCAGAGCTACAGAAAGTGAACAGTACCAAGATAAAGTGTCCCAGAGGTTGACTTATATGGCCCAAGTCCATTGTACCGTCTGCTTTCGCAGCAGAACATACTGCTGTTGGCCTTTCAATGCTATAACTGGTATTTCAAAGTTATTTGTTTGTTTCCTTTCTCCTATTAAGATAATTTTCTTGGGGAGACTGTGTTGTCTTTGTGAATTAAAACTGCTATAATGAAATACTATTAGCTAGATAGTTTATAAACAATGGAAATTGATTTTTCCCAGTTCTGGAAATGGGAGTTCAAGATGAAGACGCAGGCATTTATGTTTGGATGGATCCCATACATGGTTCCTACATAATCATTTTTCCATGTCAGTCTACATGGTAATGGTCTGATAAACTCTGTGGAGTCTCTTTTATAAGGGTACTTATTCCAGTTTTGAGGTCTCTGGTCCTTTGACCAGTCAGTTTAAAGACCCACATCCTAATACTACTTACTACCTTTAAAGTTAGGATTTCCTATGCAGGGAGCACAAATATCCAGACCTTCTGCAGTGTTGAAGGCTTTGTATATATCTCTGACATGAATGTCAAGCTTAATTTGTTATTAGTTTAGCATGAATAATAAAAACCCAGAGACACATATTCATGAAGATCAGAAAAGCAAAGCAACCAAACCACCAAAGAGCTGGGAGATCCTGTCCTCACTGTGACTGGAGACTAATTGCCCTGAGACTGAATACGGAGTCCCACATAAAACCCTGAGCTCCTTCTTGTATATATCTCTAGTGCTAGAATTAAAGGTGTGAGCTCTGTTTCTCTTTTAGACTGATTCACACTCATGTAGACCTGGGTGGCCTTGAACTCAGAGAAATCCATCTGCATCTGTCTCCTGAGTTCTGGGACTAAAGGTGTGTGTCACCACTGCCCAGCTTCTGTGACTATGGCTAGTATTGAATTCTGATCTTCAGTGGCTTTATTAGATCAAAAACAATATATAACCACATATTACCACAGTAATTGTAAAGAGTTATGAAGTACAGTACATTGTGACATTTAAAGGAATGAACACATGATATCCTGATCAAATCAAGGTGATTAGCATTTCTCTCCTTCCTTTCCTTCCTTCCTTCCTTTCTTTTCTGGCCAGCATTTCTTGAAAGTGATTGGTTACTATAAACTATAGTTGACTCCCACTGTGCTATAGAACACAAAAACTTATCCCTGTGTTTGGATATCCATCATCTAACTTCCCTCTGTTATTCTGTTATTCCTCTTCACACCCTTCCCAAACTCAGTAGTCACTATTCTACATTCAAATTTATATTTCTAACATTTACATATGAGAAAGAACATGAGTATTTGTCTTTCTGTATCTGGCCTCTTTCACTTAATGGTATGTCCTCCAGTTTCATATGTTTTTTTGCACCCCCCCTCTCTCTCTAGCTCGTGTGTGTGTGTGTGTGTGTGTGTGTGTGTGTGTGTGTGTGTCCCATGTTTTCGTTATCCCCTCATTTCCCTCCACATCTTGACTGTTACGTAAGCACCGGTGGTTATCACTTGCACACTGCCACTTCCCCAACACACACACACACACACACACACACACACAAATTGATACAGTGACTTCATCACTATGACACAGTTTTCTGGCTCCCATAGGTATACACAAATACACGTTGATATACAAATAAGTCTTTAGAAAATTAAGTGGAAGATAGATAGGATCTATAAAGTCACATGGCACAAAACACAAAGGACAATACAGAGACACGAAGAGAATAAACTCCACTAGAAAAGTTTAAATTCAGAATTCTGACAAATATACACAAGCCAGATACTTGAAGTTAACTTTATTATATTTCGACTACAGAAGCAGTGCAAAGAAGTGCTCAAAAAATATGCAATAACTATGTTGAACTTATTTACAGGATCAGGCTTAGTTTTAGCAGCCTTGGGAGGGGTGGGCATTAATGCTATGGAATGCTGCCTATGGATCCCCTGGGATGGTAGGAAATGAACAGGGACCCACTGCAGCTCACAAGCAGTACCCTTTATGAAGGAGGATACAATGGAATTTTCACTTACCATGTACTACTTGATGTAGGGTTATCTGTAAGAGCCTGGGAGGAAGTGATATTATTAGAGAAGAGCTAAGTTAGGCTTGATCTTAAAAGCTGGATAATTCGCTAATAAAAGTTTTTCTATCGTGACAGATTTTGCTTTCTGTGTCAACTGTCTACTCCAGATAATGAGCTTTAATGTAAAAGTAGGTATTAGGAGCTACTAGGTTTTTTATTGAACTCTTGCTGGCTCTTAGTAATAATACAATTTAAAATATAAAATAATCTGTTTTCACAATGTTAGAAATAAATTTCTGGGATAGAATAAGGACTGTATGTTAGTAGTTCTTATAATTCCATCTATTGCTGAGAAATATGCATTTAAAGAGGCTAAATAATTTGCTCAAAAATATTCTTGATTAAGTTAAGGTCTGTCTTTTTCTGAAGTCCACATTCTTTTTCAGTGAAGTGAGGGGAGGTTAATATCTTGGCATGATTGTCTGTGTGTCCAGAAGAGGATGTTGAATCCCCTGGAGCAGGAATTATCGAGGGCTGTAAGCTGCCTGCTGTAGATGCTGGGAACTGAACCCAGGCCCTCTGGAATAGCAGCAAGTGCTCTTAACTGCTGAGTCATCTCTTCAGCCCCTTGAGTGTTTTTAGACAGGATCACCTTTTGTAACCCAGACTGGCCCCCGTCTTGTGATCCTACTGCCTCCCAAGTACCTCGTCACTCTGAGTCAACACGAGTACCAGGTCAGGTCATGAGAATCTTTTTCTTTTTCACTTCTCTTTTTACTGAAAAACAAAAATGTATTTTTCATTTTACATACCAGCCACAGTTTCCCCCTCCCCTTTAGCCACCTCCTTCCCCCTCTTCCCATTTCCCCATCCACTTCTCAGAGGGGTGAGGCCTTCCTTGGAGAGTCACCAGAGTCTGGCATATCAAGCTGAGGCAGGCCCAAGCCCCTTCCCTCTGTATCAAGACTGAGTAAGGGAATTGGCTCCAAAAAGCTGGTTCATACACTTAGGATAGGTCCTGGTCCCACTGCCAGGGTCCCCCCAACAGATCAAGCCACATGGCTGTCACCCACATTCAGAGGGCCTAGTTTGGTCCCATGCAGGTTCCCCAGAAGTCCATAGTCCATGAGCTCCTACTAGCTCGGGTCAGCTGTCTCTGTTATTTTCACCATTATGCTCTTGACCTTCCTTGTTATATGATCCCTCCTCCCTCTCTTCAGCTTGACTCTGGGAGCCGTGGGTTACTGTATCTGCTTCCAAGAGTTACTGGATGTAGGTTCTATGATGACAATTAGGGTAGTCACTAATCTGATTAGAGGGGAAGGCCCTTTTCAGACATCTTCTCACTATATCCTAGGAGTCTTAGCTGGGGTCCTCCTTGTGGATTCTGAGAATTTCTCTAGCACCAGGTTTCTTCCTAGCCCCATAATGACTCCCTCTATCAAGATAGCTCTTTAGTTGCTCTCTCCCTCTACCCCTCTCCCAACTCAGTCTTCTTGATCCCTCATGTTCCCATCTCCCATCTGCTCTCTAATATTCTCCCTCCCAGTTTACCCAGGAGATCTTAACTATTTTCCTTCCTGGGGCCTTCCATATGAGATGACTTAGCAGGTAAGAGCGCTGACTGGTATTCTAGAGGACCCAGGTTTAATTCCCAGCACCAACATAGCAACTCACACCTGTCTGTATCTCCAGTTTCAGGGTTTCTGACACTCTTTCTCTCCTCTTGATATAGGGGGGAAAGTAGACAAAATACCAGGCTGTTTCTTATCATCATCAATAATGTGTGTGATTTACAACTTTATTATTACTTTTTTAAAGGCTATTATAGAATAGATGGCACTGATCACAGCTATGCAAACCTTAACACTTGTGAATTTAATGTATTTATAGAGTAGCTTTATATCAGAAACAGCACATGATCTGTAGGAACCCTGTGAAAGTGTCATCATTTTTTTTGTTGACTTAGGCAGAGTACATGGAATTATGTCCCCAAAATAAACATCCATTTTGGGTGGTGAAAGAGCTTGTTAATGTTACACTCCATGATGTCTGCAAAGCAGACTGCTTGTGTTTAAAGAATATAGTTTATGAAATGTTAAAATCCCCGTGCCTTAAACTATATACCTTACTATATTTCCTGCAGATTATGTATCAGTTTGCCTGTCCTTTTGTTTCTAATGGACTATGGTTAATTTTTAAGTAGTTTGACTTAAAATGGAAATCTATATATAATACAATAATTTTTCTAAATCTAGTCTCTATAGAAGCTGGAATTCATCACCATCCTTCAAAATGCAATGGAAGGTACCACGGACTATGTCTCAGCTGGCACTCAGGACATTCTTGGAACCACAGAAAGCCAGGTCCTTGGAACACCACCGCAGCAGAAAAGGACCATTACTTGGGCGTAGAGGTGAATGCAGAGTGGTTTGGACACCACACCTTCGGAAGCAGTGGCTCCATTTACCTGCTGTTCAGTGCCTTCCAAAGCAAAGGAATCTGTTAGATGCTCAGCCACCGCAGCTTGGAGTCCTTCTCCAGGAACAGTGGGAGCAGGATATTTTATCCAAGAGGGTTTTTTCTTCCAGTGCCACATCCCGAGAAAGTCCATCGGAAAAAAAGGAAGAGCCAGATCCTTTACAAGACAAGTCTATTAGTCTTTATCAGCGATTTAAGAAAACATTTAGACAATATGGAAAAGTCTTAATTCCTGTGCATCTAATAACTTCTGGTATTTGGTTTGGAACATTTTACTATGCAGCTATAAAGTAAGTCTTTGCTTAGTTGACTGCCTTCCCATGTTTTATCACAATGTTAGTCTTCTGGTTTATACTGGTAGCCTTAAGTAGTTTTTTTTTTATTATCTGTACATGTGTATGTGTGATCAAGCATGTGGAGGTCAGAGGACAACTTGGGGAAATTAGTTTTCTCCTTCCACCTTGTGTGCCCAGGACTGAGCTCATGTCAGGCGTGCAGGCAGGCACCTGTACCCACCAAACCATCTCACTGGCCCTTAATTTTTTTAAGATTTATTTTATTTCTAATATGCTTGTGTGTCTGTGTTGGTGGTATGTACATGTGAATGCAGGTGCGCATAGAGACCAGAGGCATCAGATTCCTCTAGAGCTGGAGTTAACAGGCGTTGTGAGCTGCCCCGCGTAGGTGATGGGAACTAAACTCTGGTCCTATACAAGAACAGCATATACTCTTTCCCACTGAGCTCTCTTTCCAGCCCTTCTCTCTCGTATGCCTTGATTGATAGAGAGGAAAACTACTTGTAGCTGTTTTCACGTTTTATTGAGAATGTCTAACACTTGTTTATGGGTACAGGTGCTTTGCTCAGTTTTTAACTGCCATCTTCATATACTCCTCAACCAAATACAGTAAGTGGTACAGTTCTTCCCATTTATGACGGGAACAAGAGGTTGGGGTGTTCTTCAGTTTAGTTCTAGAGAAACAGGTTAAGTATGTAATTAACGCTGTTCTGTTTCTTTGCATTATGTTATTTGTTAAAGACATTTTCTGCACATGTTTAGTATTCGTAGAAGTCCTCAGAACTGCCCTAATTTTTGACAGAAGGTATTCTTACAGTCATCTGGTATGTGACTTTAGACATACTACATTTTCTTTTTTGATCCACTTGGGGATTCTTGTGGTTCAGTGTTGTCAAAGATCATGTCTTCCCTCAGTTGTTTCTGGTCTCAGTGGGGATGCCTTATGTCTTTAGTTAATTGAATATGAGGTTCCTGTTAGGCCTGTTGTAGCATTTATCTAATTATTCTTTATCAATAAAAACTCAAAAATCAGATTTCATGGTAAGAACCTAAATGATCAGAGAAGCAACCAGTGACCTACTCTTTCTACCCTTCTTCAATCCAAAAGGGCTGAGATCCTCTCTCAGCCCAGCCTTCCTACTTCCTGTCTCCTGTCTGTCCTCAGCCCTCTAGAACTTCTGTGGTTAATTTTGGTCAGCTAGTGGTTAGCTCCACCCTCTAACTCCAAGCAAGCTTTATTGTCAGGACATAATCAAAATACACACATTTCCCCCTTCTTTTTCTAAATAGAAAGTGAAGGTTTTAGCCAGGCAGTGGTGGCACACGCCTGTAATCCCAGCACTCAGGAGGCAGGTGGATCTCTGTGAGTTCGAGGCCAGCCTGGTCTACAGAGAGAGTTGCAGGACAGGCTCCAAAGCAATACAGAGAAACCCTGTCTCAAAAAACAAACAGAAAAAAAAGTAAAGGTTTTAGCTAACATAGTAAAACTATATACAATAACTGTATACAAATATATACATGTAAGAATTATATTAACAGTGTTCAGTTCATTTATTTGCATTTGGCATATTCAAAGAAAATACTCCATTGTCTATCTTGGTGAGTCCAAAGTATTATACCTAATTTGCTTTCTATACTAATTTGTATTTACCAACCCAAAACTGTCTTTTTAAATCATAAAACATTTTATAAGATAAACAATTTAAGTTTTTTTGTTTTGTTTTTCGAGACAGGAGTTTTCTGTGTTACAGTTCTGACTGTCCTGAAACTTGCTCTGTAGACCAGGCTGGCCTCGAACTCACAGAGATCCGCCTGTCTCTGCCTCCCAAGTGCTGAGATTAAAGGCATGAAGCATCACCACCCAGCTACAATTTAAGCTTTATGTCTCTCAACGTTACACATTTTACACATCTTTTTGTGAGTTTCTTTTCTGAATTTGGTAACGAGGGAAACTGTAACTATAACTGTCTAGTCTTCAACCCCATCAGATACTCAAGAAGTTTACTTTAGTAAATGGGAGGTACAGAGCAAACAACTTCCAAAACAATAGAAATGACAGACATCTGACTGGCTGGATCATCACCCAAGTTTCCTCTGCAGTGTTGGGGCATCCATCTTTGATTTACAGACCTAGAATATCTGACAGACTTTCTTTCCTGTGAAGCAGGGATTTTGAAGGACTGTCCTACCTTGTCTTGGCAAAATTGAGCAGTCACTTATCTTCTGTGTCCTGCTTGTTCAGTTTGGACAGCATACTGTCAACAGTTGAGAGGCAAGGGCAGTTTCTTGCCCAAATGGCTAGCTTTGCCACATTGAAAGAGTACTCCATATGGAGGTTCTCTGATACCCATCAACCTTGTTTGAAGTTAATTGGGTGTAGCTAGGAGCAGACATTTCTCACTGTCATGAAAAGCCTTACATTATTAAAACATTTTTTACTCTGTTGGTCTCTAAAGTGTTTGAAGACCATCTATCTATTTAAAATAATATCTATTTGACCTTGAAAACATACTAACATGACTACATGTTTGATTGTAATAGATGACTAACAGTCTGCATTTCTTTATTTTCCTAAATAATTTGTAATAATAACTTTCAAGGACTAGAAATTTACATTACATTGTTAAATGAGCTGTATAGGTACAATACCTTAAAAGACTAGTAGTTGATTTTTTTTTTTTTGGTTTAAAAGTAGATTCAGTAATCTATGCTTTTATCCTATCATTTCTACATCCCCCTTTTTCCTTTCAGAATGAGATCCCTGAATTTAATTTCCTTTGCTTAGTTCCCTACCTGACTATGACCAATAACAGCTTGCAACCAACCCCTGTAAATGATGACAAACATTCATAACCTACTGAGTAACCAAAAGCCACCCACCCCTACCTCTTGGGAATGTGAGCATTGCATTTTCTAGACCGCTTCCTGTTGTCTAGGGACAGTAGGCTCTTTAGGGGACCCTGAGAAAACTGGGACAATGGTTAAGTTCTGGGAGAGGTAGCTTTATTATTTTTTGTTTAGTATGATGGGAAAATGTAGAACTTATCTGAAGTCTTGGCTAGAGTAGTCTTTGTTGAGGCTAGACCATCTTAGCTAGCAGCTTTGAAGTTGTTCTGGTTATAAAATTTTGAGGAAACTTCAACAGTGGCATTCTGAGAAGCTGGATTGCCCAGGCTACTTGTCTTTAGTGGTGTTTGGTCCTTTTGTTTTGAAAATATACAGACTTTTAAAGGTGACATATATATCTGTATTAAGACAAGTATGGAATGTGCGGTGTGTGCAAGTCAGTTAGAGATGATTTTCTGTTTCATGTTTGAGCAGATAGAAGTCATCTGTCTTTGCTTTCTCGAGCACCTAAGCACCTTTCAAAGCATGCTGTATTTTTTTTAGAGGGTTTTGTGGTTTTGTTTTGTTTTTATATCTGGACTTGGCTTTCTACATATCTGCAGCTTCTCTGACTGTGTCAACCAAGCCTTAAACATCTAGTCTACTGCAGTGTGGCTCTGGTGACTGGCTCTTCCTTCCTTGGTTCCCCAGGAGCCTAGCCTCATGCCAGTGGTACTGGCAGGAACCATATTTACTGCCCCAGCTCTGGGAAGTTTCTAGGTCCATGCTGTGGTAGGCATTTCTACTTAATCTTCTGCTGCCTAGTAGCACACCACCTGCTGCTCATAGCCCCCATTCTAGTGCTCATAACAGAGCCACTTAAAAGAACCACTCCTCTGTATGCTGCTAGCACTGAAAGACCATGGTCACCGGGAAGCTTTCTTAGGCCTTAAGTGAATATACACCACCACACAATGGGTGCCATTTGTAGCATTGATCTAGTTATTCTTTATTAATGAAAACTTGGGAGTCAGATATCAGGATAAAAACCTTAATGATCAGAAAAGCAACAGAGAAGCAACCAGTCACCTCTCCTCTCTCCTCTCTCCTCTTCTTCAACCCAAAAGGGCTGAGATCCTCTCTCTGCCCCGCCTTACTACTTCCTGTTTCCTATCTGTCCTTAGTCCTCCAAATCCTTTATGGTTAATTTTGGTCAGCTAGTAGCTAGCTCCACCCTCTGATTCCAGCAAGTGTTATTGTCAGAATATGATCAAAATATCACACAGATTAAAAAGAATTTCCTCCTTTTAGTTATCCTTACTTCTTTAATAAATTATGTTACTGAAAAGCAGACCCTAAATATTCTGGAGGCACTAATTGTACTTCAGATTTTTTTAGGTCACTTAAAGCAGCAGGGATGATTCTGTCATTGCCTGTTAAATACATAATCTTGTCTTTCCTCATTTTCTGTAAAATGCTGTGTCAGACAGAATATAGAGGTAAGACTACCTGAGTTAAAATAACACACCTTGGACATCACAGCTTGCCACAGGGCTGTCAAACAACATGGACGCTGATGCCCAGACCACCACCTACTGCCCAGCATGACAGCCTGTCCTAATGAGTGCAGATTATACATGATTGGAAGTTCATATATTTGAGTGGATGGTCTAACCACAAGTAATACTTAGAAAATATTCTTGTCGACAGAAGAAAATGGAATTGGTATGTGTTCCGATGGGAATGGTTTCCTATCAAGTTGAAAATGGAATTGGTATGTGTTCCGATGGGAATGGTTTCCTATCAAGTTGAAGTTGGTTGTATTAAGCTCCAGTTTTCCATCCAGCTGACAAAAATATTGTAGTTCTTTCAAGAGTGTTCTAACTGGAAAACACTCTTTCCTGGTTGGTTACCATACTATTAAAAGAAAGGGAGAAAATACTGTTTCTGGAGGGATGGACATTGGCATCACTGTTGTATTTCTGACCTGTTCGTCTATAGTTACTCCCACAACCTGAAAGCAAGATATCTTTCTATATTTAGTTAAGCGGCAATGTTCTGGAGCCCTTAATGTATTTATTTCAGACAGAACTAAATTATGCTAATGGGTGTATTTTATACTGAGATTTCTGACTGCTGCTGTCTGGCAGAAGGTGACAGAGATCTGTGTTTTCCAAGCATAAATATTCTGTATAATCACATATGGCTCAGTAACAACTGTGTTGTCCCTGCCTTCAGATGCTGTGTGTCCATAGACTCGGGATCCTAATCATCCAGATCTGCTCTCCACCACAGCTCTGCTGATGTTTACCGTGCTTCCTCTAAATAGTGAATGTTCTTTAGACCTTGTTGAACTGCCGGTAAACTGACAATTAGTGAGCACACACTCCTGCCAGACCAGCCAGTGGCAAACACTAGATCTTCTGGTTTGATTCAGATTCTTATCTTTATGATAAAATTTTTCTCATTTTTCTTATTTGGCCAAATTTTGTCTTTACTTATCTTCGTGTTAAATGCATAGATTTTATGTGCTGGGTTTAGTTGGAACTAGGAAATAATGAAATAATTTTGTAATCATCTTTGTGCTAGAAGATTAAACTAGCTTGTTATGATATGATGTTATTTTAAAGACTTAATCCATTAAAAGGCCAAGTCTGATACTGAGACTTTAATAGGATTTTATTTTTGTCTTAAAAGAAAACTGAATATGTGGATAAATGGTAGTATCTTGGACTCCTGTTTGATTTTGAAATTTACCTTTTTAAAATAGTTTTTTCTGCCATTCTGATTTCTTATTTTTTTTTTATGCTAACTAATCTTTCTAGGTAATGATTAGTGGAATCTACTTAGAGTACTCCCAGGCTTAGTGTCATAGAGAAGTCACTTTTCCCCCTAGTTAGCCCAATTTTTTATATTAAAAATAAATTAATAGCATACAACTATTCTAGTATGTTCAGACAGTTCCCTTTCTTTTGGTTTTTCAAGGCAGGGTTTCTCTGTATTGTTTTGGAGGCTGTCCTGTAACTCGCTCTGTAGACCAGGCTGGTCTCAAACTCACAGAGATTCGCCTGCCTCTGCCTCCCAAGTGCTGGGATTAAAGGTGTGCGCCCGGCTGACAGTTCCCTTTCTTAATGGCAAGGGAGAGAGACAGTTACAATGGAGTGTCCTGAGGACTCTGCCTTCGTAGTTAAAAGGCACACTTTGAAGTGCCAGGGATGGGACAAGGGATATATTGCTGCCATATGCTAACCAGACAGCTCAGCCTGTGAGGTTTCCCTGTAAGAGAATATTTAACCCGAATTTCCTCATGAGGAAACAATCCCACTCCCAATCCCACTTGCTATCCTGAACAGATAAAAGTCTCCATGACTTCTTGCCACCCAGGAAGAAGACTGCAAAGAGGAAAGGCAAAGAGTATACCGGGGCAGCTTTTTAAATTACAGATTTATGCTAATACACTTTTTGTATTAACCATGTACTGTTGTGTGTTAAATTTCCTGAATGTGATAGTTACAAGTTTGTGTGGATGATTTCTTGATACAGCTATGTAGAGGTATATATAATGAGGAAAGATTAGAATGATGTGCTATAATAAAATAAGGAAACTACAATTAAAATAGTCAAGGGCTTGCCACCTTGGGGACTTTTCTGCCTTCTCTCCCTCCCAGGAATCTTGCAACTTTTTGTAGTTACGCTTTACCTTATTATCAGATAATTACTATTACAAATATTCTTTATCTGATAGTGAGCATAAAGGCAAGCTTTAAGAGTAGTTGATTCTGTCAAGCCCACAGAATCATTCATCCTTTGCCTAATAGCATAGAAGTAATATTGATGAAGTTTTAAAGGTAAGAATTTAAGATCCTGAAATGTGAGTTGCAGTGTTCTAAGGAAAAGGGTATTTAGGTGAGGAGATGAAGATCAGGGAAACAGCTCTGCCCCTGCTCTCCTGGTTTACTTAAAGCCATTAGTTTAACTGTAATAAAAGTGTCTGCTCTTTAAATAGACTAATTTGAATGGCTATGTGAGACAAAGGATGACAGTACTACTTATGTATTGAACTTCAAGGAAGGTGTGAGGGTGAGATGAAATGAAAGCTTCCAGAATACAGAATGCAAAATCAGCTGCTTTTTGTTGTGGTGGTGGTGGCAGCTTGGTTTGGTTTGGTTTGGGCTTGTTTGGGCTTATTACTGTTGTTTTGTTTTTTTGAGATAAGGACCCCACTATGTAGCCCAGGCTGGCCTCCAATTCTTGAGCCTACAGCTTTAGCCTCCTGAACAAATAAAATTTAATATATATTATGGCATGTGGTCTATGTTTTCAGAAAGTCTTCCAGAAAATACTGTCCTTAAAGGGTTGCTTATACCTGACTAAACTTTTTTGTTTCTTTTTCAGAGGAGTGAATGTTATTCCTTTCCTAGAACTCATTGGATTACCTGACAGTGTAGTAGACATCCTGAAAAACTCCCAAAGTGGAAATGCCCTGACAGCATATGCCATGTTTAAGGTGGGTTCCTTGCTTACTCACTCACGTATGTATTTCTAATGAACAAGTACAAGGATAAAACTATGGCTTTAGGAAGAAGTGCTTTTAAAAATAGGTGAGCCATAATCTGCCAGGCTTAGGCATCTTCCTGCCCTGACTTGTTACTGAAATCTAGCATTTGTTTTATCGCTTATAATAGTTCATCCTTTCTTAGCAAATGGGATTGTGAAAACTCAGTTCCAACTGTTTTATGTGACACACTTCAGGCTTAATTCTTAGGTGTTCTCATTTTAAGGGTCTGTAATTTCTCAGGGTATTTACAGTGTTGCCTTTATATAAAGTTCTTATACCTGAATGTAGAAGGGAAGCCTCATTGTATATCATGGAATTTAGCTATATTAATCTCATTTTTCATTTGAAAATATAAGATTCTATGATTATTTATATCCAAATGAAAATTTTGGGAAAGCAGGTGTTAATGATGTTGTATAAAAGTACATAGAATAAATAGTATTATTCAGTAGTAGTATTTTTTTCTGTCATCTTTACCAGAATCATCTGAGATCTGATATCTCAGGTAATTTTTCTCAAAGCTTAATTGCTGTCTTTTTTCTTGCATTAAATTCATAGTGTTTTATAGTATGGTAGGTTAAATTTAACCTTCATATATCAGAGTACATGGTGGTGGTTTAAGTCATTTTTTTTTCTGACTCCTTTCTTCATAGTATCTGATTTAAGTGTATTTTCTTTATGTGCTTATGAACTCCCTAGAATTCAGGGACCTGTGTTTGTGTTTTTGCAATCTCTGGTGTACTTCTTAGGTGCATTAGTGCTTAGCATATTTGGAAACCTACAAACCCTGTGGATTTCTCCCCCCCTCATGTCCCTCTGTAGAGTGAGAAATGGAGTATGTACCTCAAGTAGAACAGCAGAGATGCCGTCTTCCTTAAGGCAGTGCTCCAAAGTGAGGTATGATAGATATAAGGAAAGAGTGCTGCAGCTAGCTGGGTGCACATCAGAGCTCCCTCATGCCCTTTCACACACACTGTAGTTTGCTCAGATTTATCCAGCCATGCCAAGTGCCATGCCAGGGACCAAGAAAACACTGTTGGACCAGGCATGGTGGAGCACACCTTCAGTTCCAGCACTTGGGAGATAGGAAGCAGCTCTCCAAATTCAAGACTAACCTGGTCAACCTGGTCTACCTGATCTATGTGATAAGTTCTGAGACAGTGAAACCTCTTCTTAAAAAAGAAGGGGGGGGGGGGGGGCAAAACACTTATAAGTACTTCCCACATAGAGCATAGATTCTAGGGAGTAAGAGTGGGTCGGGGGCAATTGGAGAGACAGAAAAGGAGGGGTTGAAAATAAACATACATGCACACACATGTGTGCATAAGAACATATATATGGCAAATGTATATTTAAATTATACTATATGTTACTGAGTATTAAGAAGAAAGACTAAAAGACTATACACTGGGCATTGGTGGCACATACCTTGAATCCCAGCACTCTAGAGGCAGAGGCAGACAGATCACTATTTATTGTTCCAGGACAGCCAGGGCTACACAGAGAAACCAGTCTCAGGAGAAAAAAAGGAGTATGGTTAAGAGCAGTACCCTCCTTTGGACCCCTGTGGGTACCAGGCACACATTCAGTATGCATACATATGTGCAGGCAAAACACTCATACACATAAAAATAAGCATCATAAGAAAGGATAAACCAGATAGGGAGGTGTTTTGTTCACCACCATACCCCCAGCCCCCAAGCCCAGACCTCCCAGATTGCAAATTCAGATGGGAGGTGCTCTGAGCAGCTAACAGATTGATCTGGTAGCTCTGGGAGCTGAGGTGGGTTGGGGTCTCAGCAGAGGAAGTCTTGAGGACTATGGGATGGTAGAGGGCTAGCTAGGCGCCATTGTGGCTGGAATGAGCAAGAGAGGCAGAAAGTCTGGCCATATCAGGAGTTTGTGTGTTACAAGAAAACTATTGGTAACTTGAAGCACATGACCTCAAATTCCTGCAGCTGCTTATATTGAGACTAGGTCGTGGTGAAAACCAAGACATCGGATGCAGTTGTCTGCTGCAGAAACCTAGGCTGCATGTTCTCATGTTAGCCCCCTAGGGGTATCCAGAAAGGCAGTCAGAAGCAGTTGGATAGTGGATATGTTTTAAAGAAACTAATGGGCTTTCCTAACGAAATACATACAAATTATGTTAAAGAAACGAATTAAGAGCTGTTCATTTTGGCCTGAGTAGCTGGAAGAACAAAGTTATTAACTGTGGTGAGTAAAATTTTGGAAGAAGCAGGTCTGAGTGAGACACTTGTGGTCATTGACTTTGTGCATACTAACTTTTAAAATGGAGTTAGATTTGCAGGTGTAAATGATTTAGGTAATTAGCTATATGTGTATTTGAATTCAGGGAAGGGGTTCAACAGACCATCATGGGAGTTAGAAAGTGAAGAGTTACAGACCTTGTTCAAAGGCCAGAGTGAAGTGGCCAGTGCCCAGAGAAAAGCCATGTGGAGGGTGGTCCTGGCACCAAGTGAATGGGAATCAGACAGAGGGACCCATCTTAGAGTAGGCCCGGGCTGTGCACAGATTAGTGGTGGTATGGTCTCACAGGGCCATTAAAACTAAACTAATGAGAATAGGTTGGTAGGAATAGAGGGACAGTTTCAAGAATGGAGAGAGAGCATAGGAGATGCTTTCCAAATATTGCCGTGTAATGTCCCTGTTTGGCCACTCAGAACCATGGGACCATTTGGTTTTTCAAAGCCCTTCCACAGCTTCAGGTCTGTTGGTTTCTGTCCTTGCTTTTCTGATGAGAATAAAGAAGGGCTGCCCCTGTAGTGAGATGGTGACACACATACGGAAAGATTGCAAGGAGATATCTGAGAGTGCAGCCCAAGTGAGTCCAGCCAGGAAGCAGCCAACGCCTGCCTGCTCAGCCTCCTGCTGTTTCAGATCTGGTGCATTTTAGCCCTGGGTCTGTAGTCCATGGCAGAGATTTTAGGGCACAGAAACATGTTACTGTTAGCAGAATTGTAGTCTGCCATGTGGGCAGACCTGTCCCCATGCTCATTAGCATTCATTAGGGGGGTCAGTACAGCTATCTGTCTATGATAACCCTGAAATCCTAAGTGATAATGTCTGAGGACAGACATTTTAAAGTAAGTCTGCAGAAAAAGTATCCCTTGTTAGAAAGACAGTGATAGAGTATTGTTTTCACCAAGAAGCCTGCAATTCCAGTTGAATTCTGTTTGTAGTCATAATCCGGTGTTGATCTGCCTCCTTGCTTTTTTTCCTTCCCTCAAGATTGCAACACCTGCCCGCTACACAGTGACCTTGGGAGGAACGTCCTTTACTGTGAAGTATTTGCGAAGTCATGGCTACATGTCAACCCCACCACCTGTCAAGGAGTATTTACAGGACAGAATGGAAGAGACTAAGGAGCTCATCACAGAGAAAATGGAGGAGACAAAGGATAGACTTACTGAAAAATTACAAGAAACCAAAGAAAAAGTTTCTTTTAAGAAAAAAGTAGAATAAGGGTGCCTTATATAAGATGTTACAGAAAACCCCATCCTTTAACCTTCTGGAGACTCTGGGCAAAGAACATGTTTTGATTTTTTTGTTTTTTGTTTTTTGTTTTTGTTTTTTTTGGCTAAAAGTATTAGTCCTCTGAGAGTTAAAAGAACAAAGATTGTTTTTGTTTTTAAGTAACAGTAAGGGGGGGAGGGAATCAATGTTTTTCAAAATGAAATGAGCCCAGCATAAAAGTTTTAAATGAGTTGCAGCAATAAGCAGTAGCTAATCAGGGTTCCTGTTCCATCTCCTCAGAATCAAATTTGCTTCATGCTCTCTGATCCTGCAGTATGTGTACTGGGCAATCCACTCTTAGAGTGACAGTCACTAAGTGCCCACTTCTGTGGCGATGAACTTAACCATTCAGATTCTGGGTGAGAGATTGGAGAAGTTACCTACCAGTTAACATGTGACCTTATTTGAAGAAGGTTGTATATCCAGTCTTACATTTATAAGTAAGATATACTGGTTATGTGATAAAATGGACGCCGTAAAATGGTTTTTAACTGGAGCTAGTCAAAAATCACATTTTTAAAGCAAATTCTTTTTCAAACTTGAGTTGGACACTTGAACTGTCAGACTTTCATGCAGCTCACTTCTGTCTTTAGCTAATCTTTGGAGGACAGTGAAAGTTTTACATAAATTTTGCTATTGAAATCACATGTATCAGCAACTCAAGTTGACTGTTCTTAACTATATCAAGTTTTGAAAGAGCGCTGCTGATTTTGATAGGAGCGAGTCTGTAACTGTGTGCTTGAGAGTGGAGGCCTGTGGAGGACAGGTGGACGGTGCACCTGGCTTGATCTCAGATCTCTCCTACTACTTCAACCCTGGTGGGATTTTGGTCTGTCATGGGTACCAGTAGAACTATGCTTAACATTTCTCATATTGGAAGAGAAAATTACTGCTTAAATACTGTGCTTCCTTGTTTACAGTGTGTAGTGAATCAGTGGCTGTCAGGCTAGTCCCATGCCTGTAGAATGTCTGTCTGTGTGGGGTCTTTCCTTCAGGTCTAATCATTGGGTTGACACTAGAGCAAGAAATGGCCTCTTTAGGGGGCCATGGTTTTGAAATGCCATCAGGAGAATGTCAGAGACCTTTCCATATAGCTATCCTATTCAGTCCCTGCTTCGTGACAAGATTCATGGCAAATGCATGGTTTGGCCAGATTTAAAGAATGAGGAGATAACTTCACATTTGAGACACCCAGGCATTATACTGAAACACCTTAGTGAAAATGCTATGCAAGGAGTCTACTGGGTTGGAAGAATTACAGAGGGGATTTGACACGGGTCTCTGCTCCTTTGTTTTTTGGCAGCATGATAAGGAGGCAGAGTTCAGTGCATTGCTATCAATTGATGGCACACTTTCAAATATAAACAGGACAACACACTTTAACATGCGTGTAAAACAGTAAGATACTAAATGCTGGTGTACTAACATTTCTCCCCTTTGAAACAACCAAGAATGTCATGCTAAGTGTGGGGATATATAGAATTCTTTCTCCTAAAACCTTTTTTTACCTGTCTTAGTGTGTAGGACGTATCATCTAGTGGAGGTGACTTGAGAGCTCTTAAGACTGTTAATAATCATGAGGCTGCAACTTTCTTGTCCTGAGTAGATATCTTCTGCCTAGTCATTCAAGTCTCACCACCATTCAGTTTTACGTCTGGGTTGTGTCTCCCCAATTACAGCGCATGAGGAGCTGCCTGTATATGCTTTTAAATCCAATGAAAAGGGCTCTAAGATTTTAGAAGTTATATTGTTAATTTGGCATCAGAGATGTCATAAGATGCTGTTGCCAAAGCAAGCAACAAACAATTTGTAGGAGGCCCTGCAATGTGTTTGATAGCAGATAACAGTAACATGTGAACTTAAATTATCAAAATGTATAATAGATTTTGTATATGCTGAACTGCATTTTATTTACATCCGATCTTGTATTTCTCATAGCTGCAAGGGAAATCAGGAAGCTCCATCCTTTTGTGTGCACATTTATCCTTTTGAAGGATATGTTGGTGTCATGAATTAAGCTGTGACTGAGATTTATTTTTTTTAATGGCCAGAAAACATTTCCCTAGCAAATTAGTAAATTCAAATGAAAACGGATTAGGTAAGAGGCTTGGTTTGTTAAAGAATAAGTATCACATCACTATTGAGAGCCTTTTGTGCAAAATAGGTTGCTGTTTGGATTTTACCAAAGGGAAAAGAAAAAAAGTATGTATATTAGGGTTAGCCTTCTCCCCATAGTGAAATAATAAAACTAAGAGTTCAAATATTCCTGAGTTTTCCATTAAATATCCGCCTCCATCTTCTCATTCACAGATGAAAGAGTGAAGTTCTTTATGTTTAGGGTGAGCTGCAGCTGGGCGACTGTCTTGTTTCTGTGGTCGTAGACCATAATTCTAGGAATTCTGAACATCTTTATAGTGTGGACATTAGAGGTGTTTGAAGAAAGTGAAGCTGTATTTTGACACATTGGGCTTCTTTTAAGGTCCTTTGCACTGGGTTCAAGTCTTTAGGATTTCATAACTGCTTCAAATATAAACTAAGCTAATCTCTGAGTTTTTTGAAATAGAGGCTTTTTTGCAGTATACACACATTTTTTTAATTGTTACAAGGCTCCTAAAAATAGGTTGTTGTAGAATTAGAGGAACAATATACTCTTGTTAGCTACAATTCATTTTCTGAAATACTGTTTCATATTTTCAAAACTGAGTCTCCCATAAGACCTAAAGTAAGGTAAATTGAAGTGTCCCAACATTCTTCCTGACCTACTTAAGTGCCCTCTCTCATCCACTTACTTGTTGGCATTAAGAGTGCACTGCTTGGTTGACCAGCAGGGACGTGATGGCTATTCATCCAGGCATTGGCCTCGTGCCTGACTAACACATGAGTGTGTTGGAGGGAGTTGTGGGTCTCTGAGATGGAAACTTGCAGAACAGGAACGGGGAAAGCAGTGAGGAGCGTGTCCCTCATCCATTCTTCAAATAAGGACTGTGCTCCCTCTCCACTGGCCCATGTGCATGTTATTTGCCAACTTTGTATTAAGTAGAGTCTCCATGAGAAAGGAAGGAAAGAAAGAAAAAGAAAAGAGAAAAAAAAGGTCATATACCCAAAGGACAGCAAAGTCTGCACCTCATCCTTCCTGGTGATTGGAATGGTTAAAGGGTCATCCCTTTCTCAGAATTTCTTTCTCCATGAACTTTGGTATGGCCCTTGTAAGAGAATTTTCTCTTAAACTGTGAGTTTCTCACAGTTAAATGTTGAGTTAGGCTCATTGGATTAATTGTTCCCTCATTTTTTTCTTTGTAACATCTATGTCCTTTGTTCCTTCTAAGTAGTCAAAACAAGTTTTTGATTGTCCTGCATCTCCAGGACAATTAAGGTGTATTCTTCCCTATTCGCCACTAATAGTCACAAACAGAAATTACAGATCCTAATTATCCTCTGGCAATTATTTGGTTATTTTGATAAGGCTGATCTCTTAGAAGGAAGAATGCATCCCGATTTAGAGCCCTTGAGGGCAGAGTAAGACATGGTTTGTTCTGAGGATTTGCTTGAATGGCCTTGATGGGAAGTAGGTGTCAGTGCTCAGAGTATGGCTTCTTACAGAATAATGAGCTAGGGGAAAGGGCATCATGCTGTTTTCTCTGGGAAGTCAATCTAAAGGACAAACCTGGGATAGAGAGAAGAGGATGACTCCCTGCCACAGTCTTGATTTCCCTGAAAGCAGAGGTTAGCTGGAACCTTTTTTTCCCTCCTCCCTTTGTCTAGCCTTTTCTGTCTTAAATTGTGACTGACTTAAATGTTAGCAAACAGCCACTGATAGGAGGACACATGGGCAGGAAGTGTGCTCCGTGCAAGTCTGCCCAGCAGGCCTGGGAAACACAGCTCTTAGTCAGTGTGCACAGCAGCGCAGCTGCCTTCTGGAGACCCAAAGTGTCCAGCTGCAGTCAGCTGGACCCAGCAGTTTCTAGAGCAACAACACTGAAACTTAACTTCATCCTTTCTGTTTTAATAAGATGAAATTCCCCATTTTAATACATCCATACACATAGTAAAAGTCTCTTCCTGCCATTTTGACAATTCCATAAAGATTCTACACAAAATAATGGCAACTCTGTATCATCCTTTTCTAATTAAATGTTAACTCTTAATCCTGGATTTGATTTAGGAAGGACAGCAGTGTTTATATGAACATAGTTTCAGCTGTTGCCCTGCTTGTACCTCTGAGTGCTAGATTGGAGATTCTATGACAAGCGTATTTTACTCATTTGAATCCATACTTCCTTAGGATTCATTGCTTTATTTCTCTCATACAATGGGTGTTGGGCATCCTTACCTGCTTGGGATCCGCTATGACAGTAACAGTGTGGTTATAGGGGCTCTGTTGCCCAGGACCGCAGGCAACATATACATTCTGTTACCTTGGTGAAGCAGAGGCAGGTTATAAGAGACACACAGCTTATATATTCTGTACTACTTTTGACCAGTAACAAACAGGTGTGCATTGCCCCCCCCAAAAAAAAGTCAAATATGTCCACAAACCTAATGCAGTATTTGTTGAGCAAGCAAGATCATTCATTATGTAACTGATGAATGATTCTTAGCTTTTACCTTTGTTTTCACCATCGATACTAATTGAAACTCAAGGCTTAGAGAACTGTAGAATTTAACATTGATGAGTCATGTTAGGATATTGAAGCCATGTTTTGGTTGAAGAAAAAAACACAAAGACCTGTGTCTGAAGTTCAGCCAGTCATTACATATGTGGCCCTTTCCTTTCTCCCGTGGCAGGTACTTAAGTGTGCCGGGTCACTCTCTGGGGTTAAAGGAAAGTGAAGCCAGCTCAGTACATTTGCCAGTAGTACATGGCCTGCTTCTTCTGCTGACACATTTCTTTCGGCTTTTAACCTTGTAACTTAATGTCCTTTAGACTCTACTCTGTTCATCTTTTTAGAGTGATCTGAAAGAGAGACAGTTAAACTTTTGTGTGAACTTAATAGAGCTTTGTTTTCCTGCTTAGTTTGGGCTGGGGTCGGGGTTGGGAAGCTAAGGGTCCAGTCTTACTCTGTCCTCTGTCACTATCTCATGACGTTGGCCTTAGCAAAGCCTTCATGTTGTAATTTTCACACAACTAAATCCACACTTCAAAATCTAGTTTTTCTTCCAGCCATATAATACCTTTTGCCTTTTCCTAATGACTACAGTTAAAAACAATAAAGGAAAACCTCAGTCAAGCCTAGATTTTAGACATTAAATATAAATAGTAACGTTAACTATTTCATACATCAGAGACTACTTGGGCTCAAAAAATTCTCAGATTGTTTTCTTGGTTCAACTGAGTTCACCTTTTCCTTCCTTCCCATATATAGTACTAGACAGTGATCCTGGTGTCTGAACCTGTGTTAGTGCCATACTTGAAGGCCGCTGAGACTGATTTTTCCATTTAATTGCTGCCAATTTCTAGAATCTCTGAAGCTATCAGAAACTGCTATTCTTGGTGCAGTGAAGTTCAAGATATCCTTAGGAAATACTAGGTTTCACCAAAATCGAGTGCTTGCCCTCTCTTGAGTCCCATGAAAAGGAAGGTTAAACCCTATCAGTCATTTGTTAAGAGGGCAGATTTCCCGTGAAGTATTCTCAGTACCATAAAATGAAAACAAAACTCCAGGCACTCCCACACAACTGTGTACAGCAAAGCAGGTGTGTTCTTCACTGCCATGGCAGATGGGTGCCTTGTGTGCAGGTAAGGGGGGGGGGCTGCTGCACCTAGAAGATACTATAGCTAATGTGCCCATACCTTCAAGTTGAACAGCAAGAGCACTAAGACCTAGCTAGCAACTGCCACTTCGTGTGGACATTAAGGGTGTAGTGGGCTGCTGTCTTAGGTGGTCCCTTGTCTTTAGCTCTGCTTGGCTGAAACAGTTGCACATGCTTTATAGATGAGAGTTTGGAACTAGTTCTAAACAGGGACATTAATTACCTGAGGTGAGCTCTTGAACCACCCAAAGTCTGCTGGGCCCAAGGTCTGATCTGCTCTTAGCCGTATGTAGGAAATGTTTACAAAACCAAGTCACTTTGGAACCCCACACCAAAGATGCTGTGGCAAATAGCGTGTCCCAACTTACCTCATAGTAGCGTGAGATTATCAGCACATGGGAACCAAGTTGGGCTGGTAGCCCTTGGAAGATGAGGTAGCTTGGCTGTGTTGGGCTTCGGGACATGTTTGCTGTTTGGTTTTATGCTCACAAATGGTTGGTAACTGAAGAAATGCCAACTGAGAACATGTTTGACAGGTTAAATATATGAGCCACTGAATGTAAAACTGCAGTGTTTCAGGTTAAGGGAATTCTTGACATTAAAGGCCTTTGAGAGTGTGTTTTTAGTGCTCACTGTTGCAGGCAGCATTAAAATCAGCTTTTGCTCTTCATGCCTTTTTTTGGAAGTGAGAGTAAAAGCAGAGCAAATTAAAGTTGCATTTCTGGAGCAAAAGTTAAAGTCTTGACAGAGATACAGCATTTAAAACTGAATTTCCAAATACAAAGGCTTGCCTTTGGGACTGCTGTTTCCACATGTGCATTTTAATTAGAATATGTATAAGTCAACTAGATCAAAACAGTACAGTGAGGGAAATCGAACTTGTTTTCAGTAGCAGGTGTCTTCTAAACTATTAATGCAAATATTGTCACAGAGAAGCAGAGTTGGTGTTTTCACTCAAAGAAGGCCCAGGGTGGGGAGGAAAGGAGGGAGTGGGAACAGGGATTGGAATGTAAAAAATAAATCAATTAAAAAAGTTTGAAAAAAAAAAAGGCCCAGGGTGAGTTGCTGTCTGAAAGGTCTGTGTTTTCTGCATCAGGCCTTACCAGAAGACTTCAGAGTTTGGTAAGTCCTCAGCCAGGGGACCTGGGCAGAAGATAGTCCCCTGAGGTACTCTCCCATTGTGAGCGGGATCCCAGCCTCCTGTTCAAGAGCTTCGCCTTCCTGTTGTGTCAAGACTTGTTGCTCAGCAATGCCTCCTGGTGTCCTGCTTCCCGTGCAGCAGCTCTGAGAACACCCTGGGTTGGACTCTGAGAGGAACTCAGATCTCTAGAACTGAGGTGATCATATCCAGTGGCAGAGGGAAGGGAGAGCCCGGAGCCTGTCCTTTGTTCACACTAGTGTTGGGCTTGGAAGATCTGTGGGCAGATGAGCTGCTGCACTGAGAATTTCTCTGGGAGCAGTGTGTTCTGCTGGTGGGACTCTCATCCTTAATTTGCTTAAGTTTTATAATAACCTCTCTGAATTAAGATGGACAGTATGACTAGAATTTGGGCCCACACAATTATTCCAGTAAGATCTTAAAATTTTCTCCTTGTTATAAATTTACAGAAATAGAAAAATAAATCTTTCTACTATCATGCTAAATTCACTTATTCTCATTGTTTGGTGGCTTATGTGGGGTTTGTGCATACATGTGTCATCTAGAATCCACACATCAGAGCACAGATAAAATACTTTCCTCTCATTGTAGGTCAGAGAACATCTGAAGGCCTCCACTGTCAGGGAATCCTAAGCCCCAGTAGGGTCAGATGTTCTCAGGAACCAGTTCTGAATGTCCTGTGTTAGAACTCAGAATTGAGAATTCTGTGATGCGATCTATCCAAGTTTACAACACACAAGGAAAACATTTTAAAAAGTCAACCACCAGCCCAGGAGACAGGGACTGAAGGCCAAGATGGACAGTTTAAGTTGCATTCTTGGAACTCACTTGGTGGAGGACGGAGGGAACTGACTCGAGCAGGTTGTCCTTACCACACACCAGCTGTGGCACGTGCACATATGTGTGTGCACACGCACTCATCATACAAATATTTTTCTTGAGTCAGTAACTTGAGAATGCCCAGCAGTATCCTTTGGGCTGGGGTAGAGCCCAAGGAAGAACTCCAACTTCATTTAAAAAATGTATTTTTATGAGACTGATCATACATCAGTCTTCTATTGCTTGTATGTCGTAGCTGAAAGGTGAACAAACAAAACCCCAGGGAACAGTTATTTGTCACTGATTATTTTTAATGATTTTGTGCTATGATTTGACCATGGCATTAAGAACAAGCAGAAACCTGATTTCATAACTAACAAACAGCACTTGTGCAACATCTTTCATCAAAAGTATTGCAATTACAGACCTGAAGTCTAAACTGCATCACCACCTGGGCAAAAGATGCAGGTGGATGACAGTTGTGAATCATTTCCCGTATATAACCAGGAATTATGGTAAAGAGGAAGCATATGGTCATTTAAACACAAAGGGACTCTTTGACTTCTGATTATCATAGCTCACAAAGGGTTGGAAGATGCAAATACAGTTGTACTTTTTTAGTAGATTTCTTTATAATAAAAATTAATGAACTAAATGTTGTGGGTAGTGTATATATTTTTAAAACAGCGTTATACTCAAGGATATTGGTTGAAACAGATTTTTGAAAGGCAAGCACTGCAGACAGAACCAGCATCACTGAGAGAAATGCTCAGCCAGGGCTGGGTCTGCAGGAAGCAGTCTGGCTGGTCACACATCTCACTCGTGAGTCCAGAACATTCTGGTGCTCAGAGTGCCCATTTTCTGACAGCAATCAATCCTCGGCTCTAGACCTCAGGAATCCTGAGGGTGTGTCCTGCAGTAGACAGGCATTTAACTTCGTCTTGGATGGGATTTAGAGGTATCCACTGTCATTGTTGCCCAGCTCTCGCAGGCAAGCATTAAAGAGGAGCAAACTGGCATTAAGAGTTACATATTAAGAATAATTAGTAATAGCTTGGGGCAATTTTTCCTGACTTTCAAAGTCAGAGCACATATCACAGAACAAATAAGAAGCATGGAATTAATCAAATATCACCTGGTGACATACTGGATTAGATTGGATGCCAGCATTCCATGGATTGCCTTTATGGATAGCATAGTATTCATGATGGTTTTAATGGACATCAAGGCTTCTATACTAGAGAGAGAGAAAGAGGAAAGGAGGGAGGGAGGGAGGGAGGGAAGGAAAGAGAAGAAGAATGAGGAGAAGCGGGAGAAGGAGGAGGAGAAGAAGAAACAAAGGAACTTAAAGTGCCAATTGGACACTAAAAACTAAACTGGAACTGTAAGAGAGAAATGTAAGTTTTCATGCAGCCTTACATGTAACCTAACTGATGGTAGGACCTCCTACCTGATCGTAGCACCTAATTGTTTTAGAGGTCAAGACCACCACAGAACACAATAGGAGTGGACCTACGCATCTGTACGCAACTGGTGGGCAATTCTCTAATGACAACTCAAAATATTTTCCCTACCCTAATAGTATTCCCCGATAGATGTTTTCTGAGGCACACTCTCCCTACAAATTCCGGACAGTTCATTGGCTCCATAGCTTCCATTTATAAGACAAGGCACAGAAACAGGGGACACAAATGGTCACAAGTGCCCTGAGGCTGAATAGCCAGCCACTGCTGTAGGTTACTCACTTTCCTGACACCGTGGGTGTCTTCAAAGGTTTGCACATCCCACTGAGGCCTGACACTGACACAACAGGGAGAGAGAAGGCCTGCGACAGGACAAGCTGAAAAAGCAACCTCCCTCCCCACTAAAATATAGTCAAACTGGTCTATTTCTAAAGGGATTAAAATAAAAACTTCTTAGAACCTGCTAAAGGGTTTCAGAGCAAAGGTGCAACTCAGTTCCTGTGTGTGTGCTGGTCATAAGCTGCTGCCTGCTTGTTCAGACTTCATTCCATGGTGTTAATATATTCAATAGGAAAATAAACTACACAGACTATCTGTAATCATTTGCAAGTTTCCTTCCAAAAGGTGGAGTACATAGGCATTCATAAGTTCTATGCCATTTCTGGTAAAACAAGTATACAATATATTACAGTATTAATTTCTTGTTCTACCCATTGGGTAGAGTATGTGCATATATTCAATGTATATACAGCACCTTACAAATAAAAGCAAACAGTTGAAGCACCATTTCAAGTGAGGCACAACAAAGGTGAACATTGCACTCTGGGGCTGGGGTCCTACATGTGGCATCAGAACAGGAGGCACCTGGCTGCTTAGAGATGGACTTGCAGAGCTAGGGACCAAAAGGGCATGGGCAGCCACATCATCTGTCTAGGCTAACCTTGTCATGTTACACGATCTCCAGCACACCTAGGTGTAAAGATGGGGTGGGAAGATGTCCCTGTGCTCCACTATCAGTCTTGTGCTACAGCCAGCTAACAAAGCCAGCTATCAAATGGCGTCTTTGTTCCTAACACCCATGGACTATGGGAGACTGAGAATCCTATTGTGATTTGTCCATATCTCCAAGGACTGTGAACAGCTACTGGCGACCACACCACGGGGTTTGTTGGAGTCAGTACAATCTAAGGAAACCATGAAGCTGCTTGGGATTTTAGGGTACAAGCAAGTCTTGATGGGTGACTGCCATGGGAGAAAAGCAAAAAGGTAACAGAAAGCAAGTGTTCTTCCCATTTGTTCCCCTTACCCCGACTGCTGAGATTTTTAGGAGGTATAGAGCTGCCATTCGTAAGCAGCAAACCTCTGGAAGCACATTCACAGCATGCATATTGTGTCTCCATAGGCCAGTTCGTGGTGTACAGGAATGGCCATGCCTATTGACAGCAGGGTTGGCAGAACACAACAGAGGCCACATGGGTGTCTTCAGTAATAGAGCTTGAGGGTGTCTTCAAAGGACTAACCCAGGAGTCTTCCTAAAAGAACAGTTGGATAAGAGATGTAAAACAAAACTACACCTATGAGAACGGCAGGTATATGAATAGATTCTTCTATATCAAAGCAGCTTTCTGAAGGTACTTCCTCTTTTGGTCCCAATAAAATAAAGATGAAGATCAAATGGAGCTACCTAGAATTTCAAAAGAATAATAATATTTTTTGTACTGAATTCCCATGTCTGTGTGAAAAGGCATCCATCCCAATTTGGCTCCTCATTCTTGGCTCTTGGGTTTGAGCTAAAAATTACTAGGGGAAATCTCTTGTGTTAAATGTTGCTTCTGTGTTTATAGAGTTTCTGAAAAAGCAATTGTAGGCCAAAAGATTGAACTCCAGTAGATGGATTTGTAGGTCTTGTAGGTCATATTCCTGGAAATCCATGAGACAACAAATAAGTCAGTGGCCTGCCCAGGACTGCTTCTTCTAACAATGCAAACCTTCACTGCAGTGCCCCACGGGAATAATCTATCATAACCTATTGTTAGTTGCCTAAACTCGCCACTTTCTAACCTGAACCCTCGGGTTCTGAACCCTCGGGTTCTAAGAACTCGGCCTTTTGAAAGACAACAGCCCCCACTGTGTAAGCTATGTCTTCACAGTTGCAGGAGACAGCATGGAATGAACTTCAGCTAGAAGGCTATGATCTAAATCTTCTCCCTGTGCTGAGAGAAATGGAGTAATGACGTTGGCTTTGGCTTTTAAACTAATTCTTTAAAGAGACCCAGCCTCAAAGACTTAAAAGTCACAGTTGGAGAAACAGAGAAAGAGAGAGAGAGAGAGAGAGAGACAGAGAGAGAGAGAGAGAGAGAGAGAGAGAGAGAGAGAGAGAGAGAGAGAGAGAGTGTGTGTGTGTGTGTGTGTACACTAAAAGGGCAATCCTCTGGGGTACCCAATGTTTTAACAAGATTGTTGCCATCTACAAAATGTCTGTATGCTTGCCAAGCTCTGATCTTAGCTCTTTCTCACAGTTGGCAGAAAATTAGGCTAAAATAAGGACTGAGAAGCCATTTGGAGCTGAAACTGAAGGGTAGGATCACCAGCTTCATCAAAATTACAGCTAAGATTTGGAATGGCAGAACCACAATCTCACCTTCCCCTACCAGTGTGGTGCCAGTGAGGACATGTACCTCCCTTCTCTGCCATTTTATCTCAGGGCCCCATCCAAGCATAGTCTGGAAACATAAGTCACCAGGAGCCAGAAACTTTTCAGGAGGTCTCAAGGAAGTGGGAAAGGTGATCTTTGGCCCAGTTAACCTGTAGCCTGAGAGGCCACTGAATGTCACCAGACACAACAGAAAAGCAACTCCAGAGTCCCAGGGACCCTCACGTGTACACCCTTCCAAGCAGTGTCAAAGCATGAGCTAACAACTGTTGCCTTTCTGTCCTCTCTCCTGTTGACTGTGAGTATTCCTATGGATACTACTGTGTGAAACAGATAAATCCCATGGAGATTTCAAGCCTCAGACCATGCCGGTGGCCTGCCTACTGAGATAAGCAGAAATGAGAAGCCTGGGGTCAGAAGGACTGGGGGCTTCAAACCATCTCTAGTTCTCAGAAAAGAGTAGAATCACCTCATATAATCACCTCTGGAAACAGTAACGCACACACGCACACTGATTTGGTGTCAAACTGCTGCTGCATCTCCATTCCGGTTCATTCTGTTACAAGCAGAGGCCAAACCACCAGAAAGAAACCCTGCCACTGCAGATGAGCCCCCCATGGTGCAGTTACAGAGCTGGCACTTATATCTGCAGAAGAAAGTCGTTGGGTTTCTTTTTTTAGTTGTTTATAAACATTAGCAAAGGTAAACTGACTTCAAGTACTGAGAAGCCATTGTCCAGCTGCAACTCTGCCTGCCATGCCTTGTCCTGAGTCACACCCTCACCCACATATCTCCGTTTGCTAGGTGACCACACTTCAAAGACTGGCTAGGCAGAAGTAAGTCTGTGGCACGAGTCTGGTAGGTCTGCACTGGATTCCTTTAACATACAACACTGGTGATATAGAATGGCTTATTATGCCAAACTTGCCCCTCAGTCAGGCCCAGGGGCATATTAAGCACAAGGAACCATCACCAGCATGGCACTTTGGAAACCAAATGGGCTTGGTGGGGCGGGGGGGGGGGGGGGGCAACTGCTGGTGCCAGGTGCTGAACAGAGCATCCTTGCAGGACTCAACAGAGCTGCCTGGGACAGGAGAGGCAACAGGACTCACTGTGCCACACACTTCAGCAGTACACAAAATGACCACCTTGCATTTTAAACGATTTATTGCATAAAATAAGGTATGTATCTGAATATATTTCATGCTACAGTGAAAAAAAGTCTAAGCTGCTGACACTGCTGGGAATAAGGCTAGCTTTGCGTGACACTTTGCGTGACACTTGATACACAATGCAGGTGTTTCTTTTTCACCGACCTCTCCAAATAACTCCAGTAGTGCCCTGCTTCTGGCTGCAAGTTCTTGCAACATACCACTTTTAAAATGTATGTAACTTGGTAAACACGGGGACACATTCCCAAATACCTTTCTTGTATAACTCTGTGGACTCTCCAGGGTGATCCTGGGGCATCATAGCCATCCATAGGTGACAAGACAACATACAGAACTTCACACAACACAGTTCCCTCATTCATATTTTAAACATTAAGATAGTGCAATCTTAAAGCATACTATAACAACACAAATTAGTTCCTCTCGCTCCTCTGCCCACTTTATACCTTGGCACACAAAACAGGAGTTTTGACTCATATTTTTAAAACAAAATAAAAGTTTCACACCTTTGGAGAAAAAGCAAACTGGCTGATTCTTCCCCATGATAATATATAATAATTCTTCCTTCTTTATTCAGTTAATTATAAAAACAGGCCATTCTGGCCCTCATTTATCTGCAGTCTCCTCTTGGAATTAAATATGTCAAAAATACCTCTGGGGGTCTTACTTTCATGAAGTCTTTGAAGCATCCTCGGTTTTTCTCTGCACACCCTTTGTCAAGCTCACACCATCTCTAGCCCCCGTCTCCACCCCTACCCCAAGATGAACACCGTTTGTGGTCAAACCGGATGGAAGTTTGTATTGTTTCAGTCTTGTTTGCATGCAATTCCCGGGATAGGAATCAGAAACGAAGACCACGTTTGCACATTTGGTTTCACTCAGCTGTAGGATGTAAAGCTGGACAACACTGGTGGCGGGAGGGCCAGCTGGCCTCTCTCTCCCTGCCGAGGTTTCTTTCTCCTTGCAAAGTGCACTCCGAAGGGAGTCAGACCAGGTTTCCAGGCTTCCTGTCTTTGCCCTTGATGGGTACTATCGTGCCCTCTGAGTTGTTCGGCTGAAACTGTGGTCTGCTGCCCCTGTGTGCGTTGCTATGCTGGTGGTGGAAGAACGAGGTGCCTGGGTAGTGGCCCATCACCTCGCTGTAGGTCGGGGGTGGCCCCTCCATCCTCCCATTACTGCTACAGGTAGCTGCACTGATGCCCGAATGGCTGCTTGGTGGGCATGGTCCCCCGTTGTACATAGAAATGTCTATCAAGTCACTGTCAAACACGGTTCGGTTGGGTGGGGCCCTCACAGACTCTCGGTTGAGTTCCATCTGCTGCTCTGGGTCCCGGAGCTGCAGAGTACAGGGTCCCTGGTAAGGAGGCGGCTCTTCCCCGTCTGACAAGGAGATGGTGGGAGGCAAGTCAATCTCGTGCTGCACGTAAGGGTAGGTGGGCTGGAAACGGCTGAACGGATCCCTCTGGATGAAGGATGGGGTGGTAAACCTATCCCTGCCCCGTGGGGCACACATGATCTGGAAGGCAAAGAGAGGAAGTCTGAAGACATTCTCAGTATAACAGTGACCAACAACGGGACAGGCTCAGGAAAGCTCAAGCTTGTTCTGTGTTCACACCAGCTTTCACAAACATCTCCCATGCAAAACAGAAAAGAACTTGTCCAGAATCGTTTTGTTTTTGTTTTTAAAGGAGGGGGCGGGGCTAACCCTAATGTGCTTTTCTTAAACTTCAGTGGGGCACAGTAGCTATAACTGAAGACTTAGATGTAATGTAGTTATTTGGGCAGGCAACAAAGATTCAAATGGGACTTCATGGAGGGGAGAGAACATGGAACAGAGATGGTGCCATCCTCTGGGAACCAGGTCACAGGTAATCTCATCCAAGCCTCAGTGACTTTACCCATGAAATAGAAGACAAGACAGTACAAGTATCTTGATTTTTTGGGACCAGGCAGCTCTGGAACCCATGATTTAGCCAAGTGAGGCAGGGTCTCTGAGGTTATTTTTGTAAATAAACCAATCAGAAAAGTGACCTTCTTTTGGATTTCTGGACTTTTACAGTTATTTCAATAAACATTTACTACAGTTATTTTTAGTTATTAATATGAAAGATTTATATATATATATATGATTGTAGATTTTCCCTCAAAATTAACTCAAAGCATATTATTTCTTTAAAACTGCTCTCTTGGGGTCCTCTCAGTAAAATAGTAGAGACAGGCTGCTTCAGTGTAAGCTGGTGACAGAGAGAGTCATAAGGGAAAATAGACATTATTGCAAAGACAGAAAACACTTCAAACCTCCACAAGAGATGTCAAAAAGCGGGGGGGAGGGGAGCAACACGGAGAAGTAAGCTGAACACCGGCCTCAGCCACTCAGTTCCCTGGCTGACCAGGGAGGGAAGCAGAGATTATTTTCAAAAGGTAAGCAGGAGAAAGACCAGCAGTCCTACCCTGAGGACAGACCCTCAGCCCTCCAGTCACAGGTTTTAGTGAGCTAGCATTTCCTCAAGTGGGCAGATCATCGGCAGAGAGAAACCCAGTCCGTCACCCTATGGGCACGGCACTGAGAGAGATCTATAGTTAAGAACTGAACTACCCCAAGGAGCGGCTGCAGGTCAGCGAAGCTCAGTTCGGCCTGATGTGGGCCCTGCATAAGAGAAGACACAGAGGAGCAGTTGTGGACAGCAGGATGGATAGATACTGATAGACCAAAGCGAGGTGGTGACATGAGGTTTGGCTCATGCTACGATGTATATAGAAAGAGATCGTCTCTCCCTGGGTGGCCCGAAACAGCTATCTTAAATTGAGAACAACCTTGGAATTTAATAATTCTGAAAGTGCAGTAAATGGATAAAATTCTGGAGCTACCTATCTGCCCTTCGCTGCTAAAAAGGTGGAGAACTCTGAAGTTCCAGGGGTGTGGCTGATACCACAAGCTGCAACCCTCCAGTGGGGTGGTGAATAGGAGATTTTGAATGTAGAAAGATACACCTGTGCCAACGCCAGTACTGCTGCCCGCTTTCCTCGCTTTCAGGGCACTATGGAGACAGCCTCTGCTAAACAATTAGCCACCCTAAGACTATGCTCAGGGAGTCTTGGGAGGGTGGTACAACCTGCCCAGCCCTCCACTGCAGAGCCAAGTATAGCCACCAGAGACCCCTGACAATTAAAGGAAAACTGGTAAGATAAAGACAGCTCTGTCAGACAACATGCACTCGTCCCAGACAAACTCAGCAACGGGAGACACAAGTCCTCAGAAACAGCAACCCCACTCCAGGCATTGAGCAGGCAGTTTCCTGTTTCCAAGGGTCCAGAAACATGCCCAACATCACATCTTCTTTTCGTCTTCGGGATTCCTTCTAATAAGTCAACAACTATTATTTATTTGTGGGGGGGGGGTACATGGACCACAGCACACGTGTGAGAGTCAGAGGACAGCTTGTGAGACTTTGTGCTCTCCTTGTATCGTGTGGATTCTGGGACTCGGGCTTGACAGCAGGCACCTTTACCCACTGAGTCATCTCGCTGGCCCATGGTTCCTTTTTTATTACACACACAGCAGGGCTCTTATTAGTACTGTTTTTAAAACATTTTATGTTTTTATCACTCCCCATCACACACTCATATATTTTTATTGCAAGATGAAAATGAGTAATATTAATAAACAGATTATTTTATGATAAAAGACCATTTTTTTGAATTTTCTGATTATTGAATAATAGTTTTCTCTTTCCTTCGGTTTCCTTTTATCTTTTTTTGTTCAACTTTCTCTGGTTACCCCCTCTGTATTTAGTAGTGTTTTTACTTTATATTAGTTGTAGTATTTTTAAAGTTATTAAATTTTTGTATTATATTTATGTTCATACGCTCTCATTCACACAAGATATACATGTGGAGGTCAAAAGACAGTTTGTAGGATTATGTTCTGTCCTTCCCCATGTGGGTTCTTGGGGTTAAACTCAGTTTGTCAGAGTTGGCAGCAAGCACCTTTTCCCATTGAGCCATCTCGCCTGTCCTTAAACAGTTTGTTCTTTTTTTTACTTTTTTCACTCCCCTTGAATGTATCTAAATTTGTTTTGAACATATGCATTGTTGAGAAATCCTTACTTTTCTCCTTCCCCCATCTCTTGTCCTTTATTCCTTTCTTTCACAACATTATTCTCAACTCTCATCTTGTTCTTCTACTTGATCTTGCTGCCTGTTTCTTTCCTCCACTTCATTCACTTACTACTTCTCCACACTAAGTAATTTTAAACCCATAGCATAGTCTAGCATAGTTTTGCTATTTTTAGGTTCATGATTATTCATGCACGCACACACACACACACACACACACACACATGCCATCTTTTTTTTTTTCTTAGACTGGGTCTCTCTTCATAACTCTGGCTGTCCTAGAACTCACTCTGTAGACCAGACTGGCCTCAAACTCACTGCTTCTGCCTCCTAAGTGCTGGGATTAAAGGCATGCACCACCACACCTAGCTGATATATGGTCTTCTTGGCAATATATTAATGAGCTTTAATTGATGTTAAGTGTTTTTACTGCTGTTACAATGATTTTATATTTATGCATGGTTCTGGGAATTGAGCTCTCAAGAAGAGTTTGCTTGATAAGATGACATCACTACAATGAAAGTGATATCCAAACCAACAAATGTTTACATTGCAACAAAAAAACACAAAACAGAACAAAACATGAAAAAGCAAGGATGCATGATTCCACAGAAGATTATATAACTCATCAACTGCTGAACTCAAAGATATATGTAAATAGGTAAAATTCTAGATGAAGATTTCAAGGTTTTTTTCTGATAAGAGAGAATACAAACAAGAAGAAAATCCATTCCAGAACCTGGAGAGGAAAATGAACAAGAAAATAACAATACACAGTTTTTTAAAAAGAAGAAAGAAGCAAGGAAGTCAACAACAGAATAAAACTTCAGCAAGGAAACTGAGATTTGGGGAGAAAAAAAAAACCTCAAATGATGAAAGTAAAAAATTCAAGAAATAAAATAAAAAACACAGTAGACATCTTCACCAATAAACTCACCCAAGCCAAAAATAAAAAAAAAAGATATCAGGATAAAGTTGACAAAACACTACATTCAAAAAAAGATATCAGGACAAAGTTGACAAAACACTACATTCAAACATAAATAAGAGGAAAAAGTGAACAAGAATGACAATGGCTAAGAAGTCTAGGGCACAACCAAGAATCCCCACAGGAAAAAACAAATTGAGATAAACACTAAAGGTACAGAGTATTTCAAAGAAGCAGATATTGTCCCAAATCTAGAGAACGGGACAGACATTTAAACAGCACAGGCATTAAGAACTCAAAATGGAGATGACCAGAGAACTCCAGGACATTTTACAGTCAAGACAGCAACCCCAAAGCAAAGGAACAATGTTAAAAGCTATAAGGGAAAATACAAACTCACCTACAACGGCAGGAACATCAGACTAAATCAGACCTCTCCAGCAACCCTACAAGCCAAGAGAGCATGGGTGATATATTTCAATCCCTGAAAGTAAAGAATTGCTGGTTGGTATATCTAGAAGAGCTGTTTTAAGATTGCCAGGGAAATAAGTACATCTCAAGACAAGCACAAACCAAAGCAGTACTGATCTTTAAGCCGAAATCACAGAGGAGACGTAAAATGAATGTTATGTACAGAGAAGGAAGAAACACAGGAAAGAACAGATAAACAAGGGAGAGCTAACAGTAGCCAGCTACATTAACAACTAACAAAAGTGGTAGAGAGGGATTAGTAAACATCTCCTAATAATAACATTAAATGTAAATGGCTTCAACTAACCTAATAACTGGATGACCATATATATATATATATATATATATATATATATATATATATCCAAACTTTTCTTGTCTCCAAGAAACACACTTCACTAGTTAAGGCACCCAAAAGCTGAGAATCAAGGAGCTGAAGTCAATTAGACAAGCAAATGGAAATCAAAAGTCGGTATAGCTACTCTTATATACGATAAAGCAGACTTCAAAATTAGAAGAGATAAAGTCATTACACATTCATAAAGGGAATTATTAATCAATAAGATATTAAAGTATTAATATATATCAACAAATACAGAGGCTCCTAGTTTCATAAAACAAAACAAAAAAGTCATAGATGATGATAAAATGTTGGATGATTTCAATACCTCACTCTATCCCTAGATAGGGCATCTAAGCTGAATATCAACCAAGAAATCTCAGAGAAAAGCACACCACAAAGTCAAATGAAGATTGACTTAACAGAAAATATAGAATAGCCCATGCAACAGATACAGAATAAGACACTATTCTCAGGAAGGAGTCCATGAAATCTTCTCTAGAAATACCACATTGGAGGCTACAAATACTAAAGAGTTGAAATAATTTGTTTCTTATTAGAAAATAGTGTAATAAAAATAGAAAGCAATTGCAAGAACAACTAGAAAAATCCATAAAATACATGGAAATCTGTCTCTCCTCTTGCTCTCTTCCTTCCTTCT